ACGAAATTGTCTTATTTCTAATACTATCAACTTATGCTGCTATTTTCTCAACTTGCCCGAAATACCGTTAGATGTAGTTATTATTTTGACTTCATCTATGAAAGTATTAAAAGATTTTAATTTATCCAAAAATTTAAAAGTTTTATAAAAACGTATGTAATCGGAATTCTGTTTGCAGAATTTGCAGAATACTTTTGGTGGTCTTTTCATTGATTGTCGTAAAAGATTCATTTGGAGTGGTAAGGCGACGTTATTTTCTTTCGTTTCGTTTTTGCAAACAAAGAGTTGCAGGAAATCAAGCAGCATGAAAAATCTGTTGAATTAACATCCGCGTGAAATGATTACACGTTTTACACGTCTTAATCACAGGCCTTAAATGCTGTAGCACATAATATTGGCTAATAAATCGTTTTGTTTATACTGACTTCTAAATGAAACGGAGTGGTTAATTAAACACCTTTCACCGTGAATCAGGATGACAATTAATGAGGATGACAAAATTGATAAATTTGAATAAAATTTCATACTTTGACAGATGGATGGCTATTTGCAGAATATCCAAAAATCGTTCGAATAATCGATAATTAATAGTGTTAAACATTGTCTGATCCAAAATTTACAAGTATTTTATTTTATCCTTTTTTTTCTTTCAGTTTAAATATTATAAGCAACTGTTGGGTATGCAAGAGGAGTTGCTACAGTTAAATTCGAATATACTTTACAATATCGAAATCGAGATTTTATATCCATATGACACTGCACAATGCAAAGGATTCAACATTTTTATTTGAAAGGATTAATTTTGTAATTATTTAATTTGCAAAGGATTATTTCATAAGGATAGTTTGCTGCCTTTCCAAAGTTCCAATAATTTGACAATATATCGAAATATCAAATAAAGAAAGTTCCTTCATATATGAAACTATTAGCTTTGTAGAAATTGTTTCAAGCATTTTCTTTTAAACCTGCCGAATTAATTTAATTGTCATTTGAACTGACATCCTCAATGATGTTTAAAAATCAAACCATATCTTAATTTAGTGAAGACTAAGGCCATTAATTGTCAATCTTCATTTTGGCATTGTGCAAGAAGAAAATATTCATTCGGTTTCTGTTTAGGCCTCACATAACGATATTTGACCAGCAACGGAAATATTCGTATCAATTTAAGTTCGATAAGCAAGGTTGAATTTTGTGGGCGATATACTATAGCAAAAGCTTGCATTACTTGACAACATTAGTCTTTAATGATGCAAACATTGAATGGATTCAGACAATCACCAAATTTTTCTAAAGAAACATCTATTACACTTTAATAAAAGAAAGAATATTTTCCAAGTTGTCTTAAATTTTCACTCGAATTTTGATAGGTAAAATCATTGTTATAACCATTGTCGGGAAGCAGTTTGGATTTGAATATTGATCAGTCTTTTTATCACTTTAATATTTCTTCTCCTTATTTTCGTCATTTCTATCTCATGTCATCTGTCGTAAAATTATGTTTCGATAATATGGCATCAGACTTTTATCCACATTTTCCGCTCTTTCATTCTAGGCGCAACCCAATATATTCTTGGTGATTACAAATATGAAAATCAATTTAAATGGTTATTAAGTGTCAATAGTTGGAAAGCCGAGATTAAATGGAACGGCGGAAAAGTTACATTTCGGGATATTCATGGTACTGTTGATGCGTTTTAGAAAAAAACGGTTATTTGAATGATGGCTGCTTAGTTGGTAAAACAAAAAAGATAAAGGAGAGATAGTGAAATTCAGATATTTAACTTTTCAAAGCATTGAGAAATTTAGTCTCTGATAACTTGATGAGGAAATTAATTGAGTGAAATAGTTTAATAATGGAGAGCGGATGTGTTTTCGATAATCAACTCATGGGTAACAGATCGTTTAGGTTACTGCTTGTTGTAGTAGGTTATGTGAATAGCTTATCTTGAGGGGTTGTTATAGTAAGTTATAACTGGGTTATTGCAGTAGATTGTCGTGAATATCTTGTTGCAGATTATTGTGAGTGGGTTATTTTAGTAGGTTATCGCAAATTTGTGAGTAGTTTATTGTGGGAGATTTGCTACTGAAAAATGGGAGAGTTGCTACTGAAAATTGATAGAAGTCATTCGCTACATCATGCGATCTTTAGGGAAAAGATCTTTAGGGCGATCTTTAGGCGATCTTTAACTACAGTAAGAATTTCGAGAAATCGTTGAGTAGTTGGTGAGTAGTTTCAAATTTGTGAGTATCGGTTTATCATGAGTGGTTCATTGTAGTGGGTTATGGTGAGTAGCTTATTGTAGTAGGTTTTAGTAAAGGAGGTTATCTAAAGCACATCCATTTCGTTTACTAGGAATTTTTAAATCTTCTTTGATCATCTTATTAACGTAAATAGTAAGAATGTAACGAATGATAAATCATCGGTAATATGAATCATCCCAGGAATTATATTAAATGTAAACTTTCCATTTTTTTGCAGGCAAAAAAAGGCTTACTTCAGTAATGGTTCAAGAAAGTTGTCAACTTGATCGAGTAACTGTGAACGAATACTTGAGCAGTTTGTCGTTTTTCTCGTCTTTAAATAATCTTTTAACTGATGGACAACAGGTATACTGTTAGGATGCCGAAGAGTAAAATGACGAGTAATTGAAAATTTGAAATT